GGCTTCAACCAGGCTTACAATTTTCCAGCATTGCATTTGACTCAAAACATGGGTAAGGCGATATTGAAATTCTTTTTATTTACTTGTAAGGGTAAAAGTAATAAACTATGTCACTCTATTGGAGGGTTTTCTTAAGTAAGGTAAGAGTTTTTGTTTTTAGAGACGGTGTTGTAAATTAATAGAAAAGTTGAATTTTATAAGTCCGTATTATGGTTTGTTATTTAAAGGTTTAATAATAGAAAAAAATATCGATTTTCCAGGGAAATCAAAACTCGCTTTTTCCCGAGGGAGCGAATATTAAGTATTTTGTTAGCAGTAAAAAAACAAACATCATATAGTTGGACAGATTTTTATTAAAATCAACGTCTTTCGGAGAGATTTGGCCAGCAAAATTTTATTGCGTGACTATAAGGCATTTCAAACCAACTGCAATAATAAACACGTTTCGTGTGATTATTCAGCACACATGTAGTAGAAAATAACATGCAGATCCTGAAATTTCAAAAATCGACAGCGATATTTATGTTGAGCAACCAAAGAGCTTTGAGAAAAAAGGTAAAAACGGAGGGATCAATGTTTATATATGATGAAGTCATTAAATGAAATAAAACAGAGTGATAGAAACTGAAATAAATTATTAAATAATTACTTTGCACATAAAACTTTAGTGAAATACTCACAGAACCTTGGCTTTACACAACCTACAAAAAAGTAGTACAACTTCACTGTGCAACTTAGTGTTGTACATTTAATTCCATTACTGGCTTAGGCTGGCCACCTAAGAGGGCTTTTCTTTGTCAGAAAAAGCAATTTGCTTGATGCCTCCATGGTAATCATATGCTTAATATGATATGCCCGACACAAAAGATTTCAACAAATTGGGAGCATTGTTTGTTGCTATACTTTGCTCTTTTGTATAGTTTTTTGAGGCAGTGTAAGAGATGTGCAACAATCTCAATACGGAATGGCAATAAAGTTTTAAAATATTCCCGAATGTGTTGAACGTAAAAAACTTCAACTTTTCGTTTTGTAATGAAGATAAAAAAACTACACACATTCCCACGTAGTTACATGAAAAATATAAAAATGGATTTTAGTTTTCAAAAATGTGGCAATTTGGAAAAACATAATCAATACATCAAGTTTATAGTTTTTCAAGCCTTCTTTTAACTTGCATTGAATGGCAGAAAATATTGAAAAGTCAAGAGCTGCAAATTAGGTGGCTGCACACTTCCCATTAATAAATTCAATCAGACATCAAATCAAATCACCTGAATGGAAAATCATTCCACGACCTTTAGTTCATGCAGTGTTTCTTAGTGTAGCTTAAGCAAACGTTAGGTCTGTAGTTGCTCCACTGATGGTGAATCAGAAAATAATAATCATGTGATTAAAAAGAAATTGGCTTAAAAGCCTTGTGGAGCGAGAACTTTCTGAATATGTTATAAATAATTCACGACTTTAAAATAATTTCCTTATGTAACGATTCCTATGAACTCTCCATTTATGTGAGACTTCTAATCAATAAATACAAGCCTTCACTCTTCGTGCAAGGAGGTTCCACTCCACTTAACCTCTCTTAACTTCACTAAATTTTACTTCCCAACTTCTTTATCATGTAATCCATTTGACACCGCCTCCTTTAGTCGTAATTTAACACCTTTTGTAAATACAATATCTTGTCTTAAAATCAAATTATAAATTATTACTTGCCTAAACATGTCTTGAGTAAGGACGAAACGTCAGTATAAATTCAATTTTACAGCTTTTGGTCTATTTCAATAGCTCTAATTAAAACTTTATGTTAGGCATTAATTGTTCTCATATTACAAGAAAAAATTAATTTTTACAAACGCAAAAAACCAAAAGAACGGTAATATATACGAGAAGGTTTTTAAAGAGTTCGCGGCAAGGTGCAACGAACGACAAGAAGACATGGAATTTACTGTTACTCAAATGCGTAATATATTTAAGAAATGTGTTGGAGAATGCATATATGCTGCGATGATAATCAAAACTGCCAGTTGCATCAAACATTTTCGATAAAATAAAGGCCATAGTCTTCAAGCAGTTTTTGCAGCTTGTCCAATCCAAAGATTCTTTAAAACACGAACATGACATGGCGATAGAATCATCATTTTTAAATGATACTAATAGCGTTAGCTCCAGTGTCAATCTTTTTCTAATTTTTCAGAAAAACAATGAAAAAATTTGACAATTAAAAAGAGAAGGTTAAGATAGTTTTAAAAAATCGTTTGGCCAAACAAACAGAAAAATGTATCAACAAAACACAATGTTTTTGAAGCTATAGCTCTTTTAAAGACATTTGTGGACGATGATCCATACAAGGAGCTGTTACTTTTCATTTAAGATGAAACTGAAAAATTAAGAAAGCTTAAAATTGAAATGACAAAGCTTTCCTAATTTTTTATCTACATTAAATGGTGCATATCATTTACCAACACCAAATTTTCAATTCGAAAAAAAATTCCACGCATCTGCTAATTTTCAGCATTATCAGTTACCACAACAATTCATTCAGCAGCAACTCCAAACTACAGCATTACTCATTCTGACAATGATCGCAAACAATAACAATCATTATAAAAGTTATGTGAATAAAAATAATATATTACATATATTATTATGTTCTGAACCACATGCAACGTTTAGTTACTTCATATATTTTAGTTCGGCTTTTAAAAGAAAGATTTCAAATGATAAAGGTGATCATTTCCTGTTAGTTACAATAGCTTTATGTTGTTATATTATCAAATTTTATGAATATGTTCCATTAAACCGTCTATTTATAAAGGTAGTTCTGAATACTTTGACAACATCTTTGTCTAAACTAAAAAGTATTCTGTCTTTCTTTTCTTGCATATATTAGCTTGCCAATTGTTTATGTATTTCAGTACGTATAGAGAAAAGTAATGTACAAAACAAATATTTTTATTAAGGTATCTATTCTTGGCAGAAAATACAGAACTTTTCTTATGGTTATGGAGCATGACTGCAAATAAACATCATATTCTTTCAGTTTCACTTCAGTCAATAGCACATGATCTAACGCTTGACATGGCTAAAGAGAAGATTTATTGGCGAGTTTTAAACGGAAATATTTTTTCTTGTGATTACTACTCCAATAATGTAACTGATTTTGGAACTTCAGTAGGTCCCATGGCATTATTTGGGAATTTCATTTATATCATGACTAGTGTTGGACGAAGTGCCGTTAGTGTCCATAACACAACAGATCAACATACGAGACGTAAATATATTCTTCCTGTAAACGAAGCTTATCTTGATTTGGCTGTAGCAATACACATTATCACTCCTGACAAAAATGGTAGGTAAATATTTACCTATTTGACATAATAATCTAAGACTTGCAAAAACTCCCACGCTAATGTTCATAAATAAGAAAGACGTTAAAAAGTTCAAAGTTACATTGCCTTAGTAAACGGTTGTTCTTCCTTCCAAAATTATAAAAAATTTGATGAACATTAAGTTCAAAGTGCAAAGTGTCTAATTTGGACATTTTTGCCGTTTGTCTATTCTTATCAAACTTCTTGGGTGTTAAATTTAAGTCTTTATTGTTTCTTACATCATTTAAACAATCACTTGGGCTTGAAATCAGTCTTATATAAAACAATCATGAAAATAGATTGTAAGAAAAAAACGTCCAAATTGAGCATGTTGTGCAGTGAGCTTAATGTTTATCAAATTTCTTAAAATTTCAGTATATTGCAAAAGAGAGTTTAAACCTTTACATCTTTGGATTAAACTAGATTTGAAACTTTTCATTTTCTTTGTGCATGCTGTTCAAATTGAGGCGATTACGAAGTACTCTCATGGTTTTTGAGATTAATTGTTTATTCATTTTACTTTAAAGCCATGCCAAAATACATGAGCTTTGACACATTTTGTGAGAACTACTGATGAATTGATAATTTTCTGAACATTTTTCAATTATCTAACTTCTTTTGTATATCCTTTATAGTGTCCCAAACAGCCAGCAAATTTGTTTATACTCTGTAAATTTTCAACATTTATTTAATTTTTTTGTTTTTACGAAATGCGTAACACCAAAAATACCAACATTGCATAACAAACTTGCTTGCTGGGTACGTGAACGTGGGTACTGAGTGACAAATTGTGTTCTTTGAGGAAGAATATGTTTCGCTTAAAATCCCTGGTTGATTTTATTTTTAATTTAATTGATCGATATAGCGACAAGCACTTTTCACTTTCCTTTGTGTGGACCCTACACATACTATCGTAAAATTAATGGAACATTGAACTGCACGTGTATGGAAGGATACTATGGAGAATGTAACTCGTGCCATGGTATGGATTTATTACTGTCTTTATCAAGATTTTTTATCACCGATCATGAATAAAAGCATCTCTGTGCATTTTAAAAACTTTGTTCTTTGTTGAGAATCCTGATCTGTTCTCTGTGCTGTTGCTTCAGTGCAAGGAATTTGCTGCATCGACATTTTTAATGTAACCACAAAAATAAGGCTCACAGCCACATATACAAGTTCATCATTATTAATACAATCAAGCAGGAAATCAGTAATAAATTTATGAAAAGCTTCAATACACTTAAAACTTCCACAGCACACAACATTGAAAGTGTATGGTTCTCTAAATGACAATAGCATATGTTAGCATTAACACATTTTGATTTTCTCTACATTAAGGAGGGTGTAGGGTTAGGGTTAGGGTAAGGGTTAAGGTTAGGTTTAACACTCCTCCTGAAGTTAGTAATCTAGCTATGGCCCTGCTAACCTAGATACATCATATTAGACAGTCTTGTGTTTATTATTGGTTGGCTTTCGTAAACTAAGAATTCTGTAAATCCAAACTTTAAAAAGCATTTTGACAGACATGCTTCCAGACCTCTTAGAATGAGTGCACCTCAATAATATTACATCAAATGTCTTCAACCAATAGATTGTAGCTTTATGAACTTATTCCAAGAACAGGCAAATATGGCCGTTGTCGGATTACTCAGTAGGCAATGTAGGCTGAAGCTTACATTCCCGCGTTTTTAAAAGTACTGTTCTCTTTAAAAATATTTTTTACTCTTTTCCATTCTAGATGAGATAAATGATCAAAATTTCAATAATATATCCTGTTGGAAACTGTACGATATGCTATTATAATGCTCTATGCATAGAACTCATAAAGTAGTGAGTTTATCTCGTTCGAAATTTAAATTTATTCTATAATGTTTACACTATGAGTAACAAAACTGAAGCAAAGGCAATATAGAATAAGAAACGGAAACGTCCTCAAAATACTGAACTTTTTGTAAGAAAGTTATATCACTTAAATTCCCACAAATTTTTCTAAGCTTACAAGCGCAATTAGTCATCCGCCGCTTAGTATGGGTTGTATGCACTGATAATTTTCATTCATACATATCTTGTTAACTTTCGATGTAAGAAAATTAGGTTTTACTGTTAAGCATTCACTTCCTTTAAAAACCTAAATAAGCAATATTTTTAAGAGGTACAATAAATAAGGTCAAAAAATGTATGTAAATAATGCGTAATAACGTTTTTCAATAATTGGCATTAATTTTCTACTGGATTTAATAAAATTTCAAATGACTTTCTTACTATTCAATTTAACGCTATTACCTCGTGATAGGTTTATTCATTGTTTCACACAAGTATATTGCTACCAGAAAACAATGTTTATCCAAAGCGTGATTCATACTAAAGCAGCATTATACTGGGTTTATCACTGGTTACATGATAATTTTTGTACTCTTGCAATTAATATTAATTTTTTTTCATTTAAGAATTAGAACACAATATTAACACGAAGTGCGAGCGTTTCCATGCTATTTTGAGTTGCTAAAGAACAAGTAATTTGTTTCTATTTTCTTTATGTGCAAACCACGCAACTTGCGAGACTGAAATTCTTGTGTTTCTATATAGAGTTATAGAAACAAAGGTTTATTAAGCAATTCGATGAATCAGTCCATCAGCGCCCGTGTTTTTAAAAGGCTATTTTATAATTTTACAATAATTTAAAAGAACGTTAGATTACAAAAACGTATTATTTGATTTTTATGCTAAACACTTCTCGGTTTCTTTACAGATGTTGCACCTGTCTTTCGAGATCCATGGGAGATTTCGGCCAATTTCTTTTTCCATCATACTGGAGATAGCATTAACATAACCTGTGATGCTTACGGAAGGCCACCCCCCAAGATAAAATGGTATAAAGACGACCAACTTATGAGATACACGGCAGACGGTGACCCATTGTCAGAACATACAATGGTGTTAAAATTTAAAGACTTAAAGATGAAAGATCAAGGATATTACAAGTGTTTCGTTTGGAACAGAGCTGGAAATATTTCGAATACGAACCAAGTGGAATTGGAAAGTAATAGAAAACTCTTTGTAATATCATATTTAAATTTTTTGCCATTACAATATCAGACATCATGTTCACATAACATAACATAGTAATTGCCAAAAAACAGTCATCTTCTGGCAATGGCACCAAGTAAACGTAATGGGGTTTCCTTGTGTTTGTCACTCATTCAAAACAGAGCATCAAGCCTTTTCGCTATAAATTCAGATGCCCTGGGTATTAGCTTTTAAAGTACCGGCGTGTCGTGTCCAGTGGCGTAGCCAACCCATTGAACTGAATATAACTGGAATGCTACCTCCCGCCTTACATTCAAAGCCTGCAATTAAACTAGCCCCAATCTTTTTTCCCCACATCCCAAAGACAGTTGATTTACAACGATAAGTTGGAATGCGGGATTTGATCCCCAGACACGTTTGTTTCGTGGTAAAATTGCGCTTCATGCAGGTGGAGACATTATAAGGTAGCCTTTCAGTTAATTATTTCGTTCATTAAGCCAGCCTTCAATGTTCATGTTGTATAAATTTATGTTTTCAAGCAATGATGATAACGACGCCAATTCCTCTACCTTTGGAGAACATAACTGTGTACGACGGTGACAACGCGACCAACACTTGTAAGGCTATGTGTGACTGGCCTCCATGGTTTGAATGGTATATATATGTTGGCAAAGGTGGAAATAAGCAACGGAAGTCTTTTATACCAGATTTGGACAATGACGAATACTTATGGATTGGCGATACCGGTCGATATCTGGGTATTAACTTCAGAATTGATAACGTGACTAAGGAAGACGAAAGATATTATTACTGTGAGATCGCACTTGATGCAAATGGCGAGAGTTATAAAGAATCAATATTTTTCTATCTGCATGTTTTACCAAAGCCAGTGACCACATTACCCACAACAGGTTGGTGCATTATTCTGTACGTGCTACATTTTGGACAGTTCAATGTTATTATTATAGTTCAGACAGTTCGGTGTTATTATTTTTCAAATCTGGTGCCGGTTGCACGAAGCGTGGATAGCTTTAACTCATAAAAAGGTGTTTTTCTTACAAAAATAACTTTGTCATCTTCGAAACAATATTTTATTTCAATGATTTTACAGTTCAAATCGTATATTATTCTCTTATAAGAGATTTTTTGAACGTTAAGAAAAATTTTTTCTCCAGTAATGCATCTATTTATTATTTACCGTACGGAAAAAGAACATTTATTTTCTATTTCCATAAGAAATTCGCTTTGCAAGGTCACCGATGTGGCACCGATGTAGAGACTAAAATTGGATTGTTTTTTACAAAGTTCACTTCGTCTAGATGATAAAATTCACTCTCGCTATGGTAACTACCATCTGAAAAAATTTTCTTCTTCCTTAATAAACTTACGCAGCTTTTGAATAAAGTTTAAAAATTTGCAATTTATATAGTAAACAAAATCGCTTAAAAAAACAACACTTTTGGAGCACCATCAAGAAATCGAAAATAGCCGCTCGCTGCCGCAGCCAATCAGACCGCAGGAAATCAAAAAATAAGTTTGCACATTTAAAAAATCGAAAGACTTACGAAGCCAGTTTTGTACTACGTGAAATGTTATTGCAATCATGGTTTGAATTTGCACTTTTTGCAAAATTAATAATGCTTATTTGCAGATATTTTTACAACGCCTTCAACCTCGTCAAAATTTCTGTCGTTGTTCGGTCATTCACTTCTCCACTGTGCGCCGCAATGGCTCTTGTTGAGTCTATCTCAATGCTAATTTCGTCTTCTAATACTCCAGTCATTATGGTTATATCAACAATGAACAATAGCTCTGTATAATATATACGAAGAAAATTTTTAACGCACGTATTTATTTCTAATTTTTCGATAATAACTTTTCGATATCGCACTTTCGTCTAGCTGTTTTGTTACGATCGCTTCAATATCGTTTTTCAACTCACGAGAGTGATTATCAGCCTCTGCAGACTTGCAGGAAAGGTGAAGGCTGTCGATAAGCTCTGATGGGCTATTATAATAGTGCACTCCAGTTCCTGTTCGTGTTGTTTTAAAGAGTCCTTTGGGGCGACTTCTGTTTTTTTAGAATATTGTAACGTTCGATGTTTTTTTTTACCTAGCTCTCGGTTAGCTGGAGAAGCTGTTCTTCTTGTAGACGGGCAGATAGATTTTCCTAGATTTTCAAAATCTACGTCGTTTATATATTCATCAGCCTCCAACCAATCAAGCAAATTTGAATTCTCTATAGCCTTCCAAGATGGTTTGTCTTTTGTTAAAAGGAGTAGATCATCTAGCCGTTGGTTAAGCTGCTGTTGAGTGTCCTCAACCGCTTGAGTGACTTCTTGCAACCCTTCAATTTCTTTGTCTTGTTTTTTGTTAATAGCTTCTGCTACAGATTTTTCAGCATTAACAATTGGTTCAGACGCCCTTTCAAAGAATTCTCCTTCGTGCTGTCAAGACACTTTGAAATCGGCTTGGCGCCGCTTGAGTTACGGGCGGTTTTTTACAAACTCTTGGACTAATTTTTCGCGCTCTTTCATAGATGCAACTGACCTGGACATACTTGAACTTCAATCTCAAGATAGATGAAGATAGATAAATGTTTTTTATCTTACTATATAATAGGACAAAAAAATGGACGACCCACATGGTGTAATGAAAAATTATAATCTACCTGAAATACAGTCTGTGCTAGCATCTATTGATTCACAATCTCAAGATAATAAACCTCATTTTACCCTGCCAGCACCTGTTTCAAGTGATACAGAGGAATCGGATGAAGAGTCACGTGGTACAGAAAAATCGTCAATAGATCCTTGCGAGAAGTCACGTGACTCTCATTTTAATAAAGTAAGAACGTATATGTACAAAATCTGCTCTAAACACAAAATTGCATTCAACGAAATTCAATGCAACCATGGTAGCCGTATGGCGGCTGATATGTCTTGCTCTACTGGAAAGCCTTTAAATTACCCCTCCTTCATAGCAAATTTCGTTTCGATTTGTCAAAAATACGACGCCTCGGGTTGGTCTGCTGAAACCTTCGAAGCTATAATGCAGGTGGTTACTCCTCATCTTCAGAAATATAAAAGAGCCAACAAGAATAAGTCTAATGATGTCTTCAAAGAATGGATTACCACTTCGGGGCTACCAGAATTCCGTCAAAACGCTTCCGATAGCGAATAGGAACCTCCTCTGCAGTACGATCGATTACAAAGTAGTCGTACTTCTTTTCAGTAGCTTCATGGTAAGCCGCCGCTAGCTGTTCTTTTGTACTACCATCAGCGTGGTCAGCTGCAATTTATCTCACGTCACGTTGGTGAAGAACTCTCATAAGCACAAAACAGCCAGTATTTCGTCGAATATACTTCGGGACGTCATAGTAGCTTTGCGCTAAGTATATGGCTGTGACATTCTTATGTCTACTTGCTGAGATATACTCTTTGATTGGGTTTAAGCTTTTTGAATCGAGCCAAATATCGTCAAAGACTACTGTCTTGGGATTAGTGTCCAACTCCTCCACTGGAATTACATCATCAGGCTCTCTTAATTGAACACATTCTTCAAGGCCGATGCTTTCGTAGAACTTTGATGGAATCTGAGATTTTTCCTGGTCGCGACTTGTTGTGTAAATCGTTGATTTAGGGGAATTAAGCCAACGCATAATCATGTTAATTAAAACGTTCGTTTTACCGAAATTAGTAGGGCCTACGATCAGATAATAGCTTTCGGGCATCATCCAATGGTGGCGCTTTGGAAGTATTGCTCTCACTCTATCTGGTGTGGGCGCCTAGGCTTGGGCCGCTCTTGAAGCTCTTGCTGTCGCTGACGGGTTGATCGCAGGTGTTGGGCGTGTTCTTTGTAAAAAGTTTGATAAAAAAGCTAAACAGCACGACCGCATAGCCCAAGCTGCAGCGACGATTCTGATGACTGTTGGTAATATTACGTCGCGTGCTCTCAGTGACAGCCGAGTCTCACATGAAGAGTTTGAACAGGTTCTAGATCAAATGCGGCGTTTTAACGAGCGTAAACGCGTTATTCAAGATGAATTCGACGCTCCGATGCGTAAGAAACAGGCTGTCAAGGTAGCCTCTCTACTCAAAGAGATGAAAAAGACAAATAAGAACTTAGAGCGTGAAAAAGAAGAAGCTGTTGCCGCCGCTGCTGAAAGCGCACGCCGCGAAGGTGAAGCTCAAGCTTTCAAATAAATCGCGGGTCTGGCTGGAGGCTTGTCATAGATTTCTCTCGCGGTCAAATATAAATCCAGTAATTAATAAATAAAATTTTCTATTATATATAGTAGGTATATAAACGTCGCATCAAACTAAACATCGCATCAAACTAACCGTCGCATCAAACTAATGGCAACATTAACAATTGGTGGAACTGATAATGGTTATGGATCTGAAAAAGCAGGACCACCAGGGCCTAGAGGCCTAAGAGGAGTTAAGGGAGATAAAGGTGACACAGGAGCTACGGGGGCACAAGGAGATACGGGTCCTAGAGGACTAAAGGAAGAAAAAGGTGGTACAGGAGGTACAGGGGCTCAAGGAGATACGGGTCTTCAAGGACCAAAAGGAGAGAAAGGTGATGAGGGTCCTAGAGGAGATGACAGAATTTATGGGACCAATGGAAGCGATGGTGCCCCCGTGGGCACAGGAACTCAAGGGCCTCAAGGACCTCAAGGACCTCAGGGAACTCAAGCACCTCAAGGGCAACAAGGCATTAGAGGTCTAACATGTCCAAAAGGAGAGCTGGGGTCTACAGGGGACGCGTGACCTCGAGGGCCTCAAAGGCATAAAGGAGATACTGGAGCCACAGGTCCTCAGGGGCCTTCAGAACGCCAAGGACCTCAAGGACAGGCAGGAGCTGATGGGCTTAAAGGAGACCAAGGAGATTAACCTGGTTTGAACTCTCCTGATGGATGTTACCCCCCAGGTATGAGCGGAGTAAATGTAACTTTAGTAACGTTTCCTACTGGAAAAACACTCGAAAATAATAAAATAGCATTATTAAGCATTTGGTTTGAACGGTCTAAAAACGAGTGGCTCAATATTAGATGTATTGTGCTTGAACAAAGTTGGCGGCCTTGTATTAGTTTCGTACATGATAACACTAACAAATTGATGTCATATGTTAGTACAATACCCATTAACTGGACGCGAAGATATGAGGTACACTATTTAGAGTATTCCTAGTTCTAAAACAAAAAATTTTCACTTTAAATTTATAGTGTTTATCACTTCAGTTGTGTCTTATCACACAAACATTAAAATGTCTAACGCAGCTGAAACTTCGGTTCATGAATTTGAATCAACAAACGATCTCTTTCGCCGAGCAGTAGAAGTATACTTACGACAAAATAGAGAGAAAAATTTTGCAAAATTTGAACTAGAAGATAATTCTAGGGCTGAAAATATAGTCATATCTTCTTGGAACTAATCAGACGTAGATAAACCTACGCGTGAGGCTCTCAAAGCTTTGCTTAGTCCGGCAAAAAACTACCACGCCCATCCTGTAAAACATTATAGAAGACGTGAAAAACACAAAAAGCGACTAGAAATTCCAGTAGATGTGTACACTCAAGTTGGTACTTCAGTCACTGGAAAAAGAGGTTCAGATTGGACCAATGTCGCGATGTGTGAAAAAGGTGAAGATGATTCTTCTACAATCACCATCGAAACCGCTGGATTCTACCGAATATTATTAAGTGGAAAATGTATTACAAGTGCAGGAACGCTACGAGTACTTCAAACTCCTAGCAAATTACTTGTCTTAAGTGAAACAAAAACACATCGTGTTGGTGATATTAACTCTGAATGTAGCTATGGAGATTTTATAGATGTAGACTTACCTACTGACGCAACATTAGTTGTTCAACAGATGGGAACTGCTAGAGTAATTATCACACTCACTATAGAAAGCATAATACCCGAATATTCAACCGTTGTTTGATGAAGATATGCTACACGAAGCGCTAGATGATTCCGAAGGCTTTCCTTCATTATCTAGAACTGAAAAAGAACACTTCACGTTGGCAAAGGGAGTGAATCGGCCGCCGGATGCGTCGGAGTTTTAGTTTTTGGAGGAATTGCACTTAGAAAATGAAGTGCGTTATAGCGTATTAACGCTGGGTCGCTCATATTTCCATATGTAGCTTCCCAACCTACAGAATTTGCTATAACTGCCGGTCTACTTTCCATTACGTCATTACGCATAATAGGTTTGCGCTTACAGGGTACCGAAGGAGGTTCAGGTGGGCTGTATTCGTTCGCTTTCTTGATGTAGATGCTAGTGGTTGAAAAGCTTCAAGGAATGAGTTTAGAGCTCTTCCACTTATAACACCCTGTTTATATAGTTGCAGAATCTCTCTAACAGTGTCCATCTCGATTTTATATAATATATAAATATTATTCTTCTAATTGTATCGTACCTGTTTGTATTAGCAGCATGGTTTATAATTTAAGATGTTCTTCTCTTTGTCTTATTATTATATTATTCAATTTTTTCTCTCTTTCTCTTCTTTATTTTTGCTCTTGTCTTTTCATACGTACTCTTTTGGATTCATTATTCATCTTACCACGTACCCTATTATACGCTATTTCTAAATAATAGACCCCGACGGCCGGCCGTCTTTGGCTCCTGCCGTTGTCTTGGGTTTGACCTTCGCTGTAATTATGCTAGCATATTTACAAGAAGTACGTAAGCGAGCTAGGGCTGGGGTACTTAGATTTGTGTATACTCCTTCTCAAACTGTGAGCTGCGCTAGAAACGACGCTTACTCAAGGTGAAGTGCACCAGCGGCAATATTTTGATTTTCACAATTAACACATTTTGATTTACTCTACATTAAGGAGGGGGTAGGGTTAGGGTTAGGGTAAGGGTTAAGGTTAGGTTTAATACTCCTCCTGAAGTTAGTAATCTAGCTATGGCCCTGCTAACCTAGATACACCATGTTAGACAGTCTTGAGTTTATTATTGGTTGGCTTTCGTAAACAAAGAATTCTGTAAACCCAAACTTTAAAAAGCATTTTGACAGACATGCTTGCAGACCTCGAAGAATGAATGCACCTCAATAATATTACATCAAATGTCTTCGAACCAATGGATTGTTGCTTTATGAACTTATTCCAAGAACAGACAAATATGCAGTAGTCAGTAGGCTATGTAGGCTGAAGCTTACATTCCTGCGTTTTTAAAAGTCCTGTTCTCTTTAAACATAGTTTTTACTCTTTGCCATTCTAGATGAGATAAATGATCAAAATTTCAATAATATATCCTGTTGGAAACTGTACGATATACTATTATAATGCTCTATGTATAGAACTCATAAAGTAGTGAGTTTATCTCGTTCGAAATTTAAATTTATTCTATAATGTTTACACTATGAGTAACAAAACTGAACAAAGGTAAAGGAGCATAAGAAACGGAAACTTCCTCAAAAGTTATATCACTTAAAGTCCGACAAATTTTTCTAAGCTTATAGGCCGCACGCAATTAGTCATCCGCCGCTTAGTATGGGTGGTATGCACTGATAATGCTCATTCATACATATCTTGTTAATTTTCAATGTAAGAAAATTAGGTTTTACTGTTAAGCATTCACTTCCTTTAATAACTTAAATAAGCAATATTTTTAAGAGGTACAATAAATAAGGTCAAAAAATGTATGTAAATAATGTGTAACAACGCTTTTCAGTAGATCGCATTAAATTTCTACTGATTTAATAAGATTTCAAATGACTTTCTTACTATTCAATTTAACGCTATTAGAGTTAGACTGGAATTTTCTATTCAGACAGAAAAAAATTTCATGTAAGCACACATTACAATGAAATCGACTTTATATTCTGAAATTGAGTTAATAGCAAAACAGCATCCCCACTTTAAATGTGATTCACAGTAGTCAATAATATCCATATCTTACATGCAATGCTTGTGTTCTGTAGGTTTCCAGTCTGTGAAACATGAAACAAGCAATTTTTAACAAATAATAATAATACCTAGTAACGATTTCATTCGCTTAAGAACACTTTTTTACAAAATTCAGTCGTTTATCCTATCATAACATAACCTTGAGAAACTGAATTTTTAACATTTTCAATTTAAATAGCCATAGCCAAAGATTGCAGTGAGGTACAAAATAATGGCAAGAACGAAAGTGGAGTTTATCAAATTGATCCTGATGGTCAAGGATCTTTTCATGTCTACTGTGACATGACTTCATATGGTGGTGGCTGGACTGTATTTCAAAGACGCCTAGATGGAAGTGTTGATTTCTATCGTGGGTGGAATGACTATAAACAAGGTTTTGGTAATCTTAGTTCTGAATTTTGGCTTGGATTGGATAAGATATATCGACTAACTTCTGCAAAACGAAATAAACTCCGTATTGACTTGGAAGACACATCAGGAAACCAAAAATATGCTGAGTATGATTATTTTGCTGTAAAGAATGAAAGTTTTTTTTTCACTTTAATTCTTGGAACATACTCAGGTAAGAAAACATCTAAACATACGGCATTGTTATACCGACTAGTTTCCAAATATGCAATTGCTTTTGCTCTTTTGTTTGACAATTTATGTCTAATGTATAGCACTTTCTTTCAAGGCTTCTTCATTGATATATTTTTATACCTGTTGGCATTTATTTTGACTGTTCGTGTAAAACACAAATCATAATGCGAAGCTGTAGTCATTATTTTTCCTGCTTCACTTATGATAAGAACTACTATCGATTTTCAGGAAATTCTGGGAATTCATTAACACCCAAGCATAATTACATGAAGTTTACGACAAAAGATGCGGATCATGATACTTGTGGAGGAAACTGTGCTGTTGCTTCTAATGGAGCTTGGTGGTATAATTGTTGTTATGATTCCAATCTTAACGGCTACTATTATCATGGCTTTCATAAAGGGTATAAAGGTGTGGTTTGGAGAAGTTGGAAAGGAATGAAGTACTCTCTAAAATCCACTGAAATGAAAATAAAACCATAATTACTTCAGCTCTTTTATTAATTTCATGTATGAAATTCATAAAAACATACGTTGTTCATTTTGTTATAAACTTCTTAAATAACATTTACATTTATTAGTTTAAGACAGTGTTTAAAACGTCTTCTGTAGAAGTTAATAATGTATTTACAATTATCAAATAAGGACATATAAATTCGCTCAGTCAAAGTTTGTCAAAAGATACAATCCTGTCTTGTTCTAAAGATACAATTCTGTTTCCAATCGTTAGGATAATTTCTTTTATCTAACGATAGATTAAAAATGTGGGTCAGGTATGGAGTGATGACAATAGCAGAATCTCTTAAAAGTTTCGACAGTATTTTGTCTAATCCAGCACCCTCATTGCTTTTAAGTTTTGATATTTTTTTAGTAAAATATTTCATCAGAAATTGTAAGACATTGAAATCCACAATTTAACGGATTTAAGTAATAAGAGAAATCTTTAGGACTTTCTGGAAGTTTATTTAATAATTTAGAGCCAATTTTTATGAAATATTTATTCAATTGACTAGCTGTTGATTTTACATCGTAAATGTTATTGCCCATTTCATCTTTGATTGTTGAAATTGTGGTAGTTTTGGAACATTTCCACTAAAGCCTTGATATATATTTTTCACATTTCTTTTGGATTATTTTTGTTCATTTCAATATTTTCTTTATATAATCGAGATTTTGTGGACTTAATCGACTTATTAACTTCGTTACGCTTAACTTGATAAGCTCGGTAACCTTTTTCTGAATTTGTTTCAGCGGTTCGCTTTTATAAGCAATCACGTTGTTCATCTCACATCTAATCGGAGTAGTTAGCCAAGGAGAATAAGAGATTCTGACTTTCCCTGTTTTTATTGGAGTATAAATGTATGCTACGTAATTAAAAATGTCTTTAAATTTTGCCCATAAATTATCATGATCACGATAATTCAAAGTAGAATCTCTCAATGAGTAGAAAAATATAGTTATTGAAATGATCAATGTTGTATATTTTTACATTTCTAGTTTCAAAAATGTTAGGTTTTTCTCGCTGCAAAGATATTTTAACTTTGGTGTCCAATACATGAAAAAAGCTCTCTATGCAAGTCTTTCATGTGTAAGCAATACAATAGCATTTTCTTTGATAATGAAGTCGACTCATCAGTTATAATAGTGATTTCTCTGTCATTGTCCTTGATTGCTTTACATATTTTTTCTCATTGTGTCCGCAATACATTCAATCATCAGCGTTCAACTAAACCTAGAATGTAAAATTGACCCAAGCTCGATCCCATTTGTGCTCTGCAATGTAACAAGGTCTGGATAGTCCGTGATTGCTCGGTTATTGTAGCCAACAATATACGCAGTCCGCAAATATCTCTCTGTTAGTTCTCTTGAATGTTCAATACTATTGAGTGATGTAACCTCAATTTTCTTTCGTTTTGTTCTGCTAGAATGTTACTAGCTGCAATGTGCGCCTGAGATTTTGCGTGTTTTTGTATCTCATTTCCCAATGCTTTTTGTGTTAATGCCTTCTTTCCATCCTTACGCACAGAACATGTACTTCATTCACTACTTAAGTGTATACTTTGTGTACTAGATGCTCCTATTGACCCAGCAATTTCACTCTTTTGCAAATGCTGCATCTAATACTTTAATTTTCACATACAATCCATGGGTATGTCATCTTAAAGTATTTGTATTGGTGTGTTGACAAACAATTACGGTATGTACATGGGGAGGTGACGGATGTTTTGCAAGGTTAGTTAAGCAAAGTACTCGCATTGTTGGTGGAATCAATCTAACCATTGTCAGCAATATCTCTTACGCTTAAATTTGGGCCTTTCAAATTCTTTTGTGAAATTTCTACGTGACCAAACTCTGGCTGACTACTTCTACATCGGGTTGACTCACACAATTAAATCGATTGCTCGTTTTCTTCTTGAATAAGTGCATTACTTGAGAAAAAGCTTGTTGACATTTTTTGAACCTTTTTCCTCTTCGCTTGTGGTTTATTCTTACGTTCAGTTTCTATTTTTATTCACAACAATTGTTGGAAATTTATTAATTATTATCTCAACTGAGAGAACGTTATATGTTTTTTATGGATTTCTACTTCTATTTAATATAGCTTCATCAACAAGTACAATTATAAAATCATAAGATAATACTAGTTATAACATTTTTCGTTTATATTTAGTTAAATTTCGATACAACATAATGAGGACAATTTATAATTTTATAGTTTATACCAGGGTTGGATCCAGCTACGTATATGAACTTAGGCACAATGTCTTACCGTTAGTGCGGCTTTTCTATGGAGGTTCAGAAGCATGTCCCCCCCGGTAAAATTTTAAATTTGGATTGCCAAAAACTCTATTTCCTGCGTTTTTGCAGTTTGTCTTCTAAAGTATTTATTACTGTAATGAGCTAACATTCTTGATCATAAATTGTCGATTTTTGACCGTTTTGCTCAATATCAGAGCTCATCAGAATGCCTAGGAAACTCGCAGAAAAATATGCTTAGAGGGCTTCTTACATGGACGGCCTGGTTCATTATAAACTTATCCTAAAAAAATTCTTTACGCTTCATCAACTTTTATATGGAATTTCATTTTATAATGGTCTAGTCATACCGACATGCTGATTATTATGCAATCGATTTTATGTCAATTTATCAAATGAAGTTGTCAACAAAAAAAGCAGAAAAATGTTTGTAGATGTCGATCGTCCAGGTAAGTAAAGTTCTGAGAACGACTGTTTGTGTTTATATTGACTGAGGTTAGCGGCAGTCATCTTTACAGTCAAGAGTTTAAAAAAGGCATGAAGAACTTTAACTCCGAACTAGAAAGCTAGTTCAATTCTTCTTTCGTCTTTTGCAAAAAGATCTATATTCTTTTCTATATCTGCATTAATGTCCTGATGAATACACAATAAAGCAAGACCATTTAACCTGTCAGCAGCCATAGTACTTCTTGTATAGTTCTTTAATCTTCGCAAAGCAGAGAACGACCTCTCACACTCAAGTAAATGACTCGGAGAGGTCTGATGTTTTACAGTCTGTTGAACCACTCAGACTAGCTTCAAATTGGAATGAATTACAGAGATGATAAATTTGTTAACTCTACTAAAAGAAGCTCCAGAAAACCTTTCGATCGGTTTGAAATAGAAGCTACAGACGTGCAAATAAACAAAGTAGAAACTAAAATGGCGTGATGTAAAAAAAGCTGCTAAATTAGATATGCATTTATGAATTTTTTTATGATTTCGTGCCAATGCCATGTAATCACTGAAGCGATTCCAAATTTTTTATCCTTGTTCAATTTCATTCTTCTTTCATGTAAACAGGGACTTAATTACTCTCGACACTCAGCACTTACTCTCAATTCTTATCCTTACGTACCAATTTTAGATAAATCTGAAAGATAAACCGTCACCTTTTAGATAAATTTACGCATTTGAAGGTAGCATAATCATATATCAATTTTCCAACAGGTACATGTCCTTCAGAAATTACCTGTTTGAAAGAATGATACGTGTGATAACGAATGAAAGGAAATATCAATCGCAGCGTCCTGTACAAAAACAGCTTGTAAAGAAATGGGAAAATTCACCTAAAAATTAAGTGTAGTTCAGAATCACCACCCGGTATTTTTCATACTAAGGTCTATATATGTAACTTGTAATGGAAGAAAATGAAACAATTAATGCTTAATATATGTAAACGACTTCTTAGGAATTTTTTTGCCCCTCCCCCACAGGAAAAAACTGTAATCAGTGCCATCGGCCGACAAGATGCCAAAATTTTATTACTTACATTATAAAGCTAATACAGTAGTGCTCATTGCTTATAACTTAATATATGTATTATTTATGTCAACTTAATACAATAATTAAATACACTAAAGCTAAGCGTGATAAATATTCAATAAACTTAATAGTAAATCAGAAAAGAAGTTTTATAAACTGTAATGTCTATGTGTAGCTAGTTGGTTCAATAAGATTAGTAGTATTAGTAAATTTAAAGTCATGGTAACCAATTTTGTATCCACTTATATATGCATTGCAACATTGCAAGTTGCTTTATATCATCAATTGACAATATTTTGTCCCAAATATATACAGCATCAATTGTTCCTTTAAAACAGTTACAACTCTGAAATCCTCCATCAAGAGAGTCCTGATCCTGTCCAATCACCCATACTCCTCCTGATAAAATTGTTCGGTTTTTTGCAACTATTGTTGAATACTTTTGCTCACCGTCTTTGTAAACTATCATTTTTCCATCAACCTTTTGCCACGTGATCATAATATGATATTGCTTCCCATCAAATATATCACCAATATGACCACTTCTATTGAGTTTTTAAAAGGTTTTAAAAAGAATTAAAAGATCGCAAATGACTCGTGAAGCATGACAAATCTGTTTTTATGCATATATACCTGAAAGAATCAAAAAAATAAATGGAAATATTTTTTTTTATGAATAAAATCACGGGAGCGTTTGCATGGACTTTTTCTTTTCCTTGAAATGCAAGAGATACTACAACTGGATGTCTAGTCTCATAATAAACATCGTCATATGTTGTAATCCAGACTGATATTGAAAAACATTGAGTTGTGTGGAGGAATTAATATATTTTCCATATTGACTTGTATTGTTGCCATTATACTTGCTTGCCCTTTGTGGACCTAAACGAATCCAGCTTTTACTGCAGTTTATATATATATATATATATATATAGGAAGTTTTGTTTATTTGAATCTCCGTAAGTACAGTGCTCGATGCTTAAGAGCAGAGCGTAAATATTGATGAGAAAAGAAAATACAAAATTACAATTTCATCCCGACAAGACTCTTCAGGGATAATATTATCCCTGAAGAGTGAGAAATCAAAACAGGCTTGTCGGGATGAAATTGTAGTTTTGTATTTTCTTTTCTCATCAATATATATATATATATATAAGTTTGAAAATTTGTAATCCAGGCATTTAATATATATATATATAAAATGTGGTGACTCTACAATACAATCCATGCAATGTGTAACCGTACGTCCTGTGTCCCAAGTGCAGGAGTCACCGTTTTAAAGCGGTGATAGCCGGGAGGGCACATTGTATATACACTTTGTATATTACGCTCACTGCGCGTGCGTAGTTTGAGCACTGTCGGATTGTGTAGAGAGTCTCATATGG